GTCCAAACAGCAACTGTCAGTTCCCCATAATGAATTTTGTTACTTTGAGATCAGAGGGGCTGTGTTAAAAGCAAACCTGGCCCTGGAGAAAACTGTAGTAGGTACCAGTCAGATTATTGCCGTGCTTAAGAACTGCTTCACTATATTTAAGAATCCTGTTTCCCTTCCCCCTCCTCTTTGTATTGTAACGCCAATGCTTTATTCCAACAATTGCCACTTATTGGACAAATTGTTTCAGTAACACAAAGATGTCTCTATAGCTAAAAATAGATCCAAGAGAGGAAAAACTACACAATACCCTTTTCATTCTAGAAAATAAATCTTTCAGGAAACACTATACTAGCTGGAGTCCACTGAATTCAAACCACAGAGCTCAGAAGAATTTGCAGTAGGGCATGAGTATCTGGTAAATCAAAGGACCAAAATACAGAAGCTGACAAATGACTTTATTACTTAACACACACCATACTTACAGTTTATACCCAAATACAAACATTTCACTGTTTTGTTTTGTACTTACGTGTATCCTAAACCCATTGCTGAAAATGTTTTTGGCAGGAATCATCCTATGACCCCTGGACATTGTCTGATAGTCCATAGAACAGTTCAGATTCTCCACTCTGAGGCTAGACATAGTGCTCCAACCTCAGAAAATTAGAGGTCTAAATGCTGGCCTTCCCTGCATACACAGCTGGAGTGGAATGAACCGCTCCGATTGCTCTCTGGGGTCAGGAAAGTAACCCCAGGGAGGGATAGGTAGGGTTTTGGAGAGATAGGGAGGTGACTGGAGTAGCCAGAATATAAAATATCCTGAAGCTGCCCCAGCATCCCACCTTCCCCCTCTGAGATGCTTTTGTTTGACAGCCAACAGCAACACTCTTTTAAAAATGCAGAGCAGGAGAGACAAGGAAGTGAAGAATGCCTCTGCCAATTCTCTTGCTCTGCCTGAATGTGAACCCTGACTCTGGGGCTTATGATTATCTCTGTAAGATTGTGTCCTTAATGTATTTAGTATTACCAGGCTACATCACGTTAGTATCTGATTTACTTGGCTTGTGGTGTGGCTGAAAACAACACACTTCAGTTTATTCTCCCCTCCCAATATGCTTTACACAGCTAAGGTGTATATTTGAATAAGAATCCATTTCCCCATTTCCTACCTCTTTAAACTCTAATATATCAACACTCAGTTTATGAAATCATCTCTAAATGTTCAAAGGACAAAGGAACAAGGGACAAAGTAGCCACATTTGTGCAATCAATAAGCCACCATGACTTGCACCACATGCTGGGTGCCCATGGGCTTTTTTAGAATTGTGGATGACTTGTTAACCATGTCAAGAATGCAATCTCAATGAGTCCAGATGGCATGAGAAAGAAGTGATTGTTAAGTTATAGAACAGGTGCCTGCTGGCACCCAGCATGTTCAAGAAACCATGTTAGCTTATTTAAACCAATGTGGCTCAAATTAATTGGCAAACCAGGTCAGTATATGATACAGATTTGTTTGGGATTAAGTCCAACCACAGAGTACAAACCTATAGCCCCTGGCAGACCCTGTACCCTTTCCTTCCCTACTCACAGCCACCAGAGAAAGAATCATGGCAACTCCTTTCTGATGTTACAAAAGTGACCTCTGATTATCTTGTACAGGTCAAAATGGGGACATTCTTGTGGCCAAGAAGGGAAGAAGCCAGGATCTGCAGAATCATATGGACTTTCCAGCCTCAGGTCTACCCCTTTTACCATAACTCATCTACATGGGCTCAGAGATCCATCTAGAAGAAAAATGTCTTTTAAAACAAGAAAGAAGAGGCAAATATTACCTCCATTACTTCTCTTGCCCTGCAGGGCATAACATACTCATAAGCTTCCAGAGGCTTCCCTCGAACGCATAGGAACCTAATCAGGTTGCATCATCATACCTCAGTGCATCATCTTATACTTCCAGGGATTTCAGGGGGATATAGTAGCAAAAACAGGAAGAGTTCATACATAAGGAACATTGAAGTAGCTATTCCTGAATAGCTCCATTTATGTGAACTGATATATCCAGGTGGTATATACACCTACACTGTCATCAAAATAATCAAAATAATAATTATACACAACAGCTGGAGGAAGTACTGCTACACACAAATATTATTTCCATATAAGTTCAATCCACTCAGGATCTAATCACTTCCCAGTCAATGATGGGGGAGGTGGGCAGCAGGCAAAGAGAAAGTTCATACATGAAAAGGCTCAAAATTGCTAGGATAAAAAGTTAACAAATGTAGATGATACACGCCATTACAGGTTATGATCATATTATGCTGATCTTTTGTAACCATTACTAGCTTCAAATTGGTTTTGGTCATATTGGGACCAAAGCACCTGATGGAATGCATTCTTTTCAAGGTCTTCTACAGAAGATTCTTTTCAAGGTCTCTCATGATTCAAGGTCTTCTACAGAAGCTATACTTCAAGGGCCCCTTCAAACAAAGGCCCCTTAAACAAGGGATGGTTATGAGAGGGCTTTCTCAGTGATGGATCCTCAGCTTTGGAATGCTCTTTGCAAGGAAGCTGTGTGGAACCCCCATGGTTGCATTTGCAACTCCAGACCAAGAATGGTTTTGCTCTCCCAGGCATTTTAAATCTATTACTATAGTCCCCTGGGGAAGGTTTCAACTCCAGATGGTTTGTTGTAGCTTTGTATATTAGTCATAATATAAAATATTAATATATTGCCTTTTATTATCAAATCATCACACAATCCTATGCAAGTTTAGAATTTGGAACAAGGAAATTCTACAATTCCCAGCATGCTCCAGCTAGATGCGGTGCATAAAGGGATGATAGATCAGCATAGTTGCTTATGTAGACATGATTTAGTCATGACTTAGCTTTGGGTCACTATCTCTTAATCTATTCTCTGTGAGAGCAAGAAAATAACAGTTGTTAATAAATAGTTGAAAGAAAATGATATGAAGTCTTCTTAGATTAAACAGTACATAATATCCTGAGGATGAGGTGGCTAGATGGAGTCACTGAAGCAGTCAGTGTGAGCTTAAGTGGACTCCAGGTGATGGTGGAGGACAGGAAGGCCTGGAGGAATGTTGTCCATGGGGTCATGATGGATCAGACACAACTTCACAACCAACATAACATTATATCCTGCAAATGTTGTACCCTAAAGAGAGTACACAAATAAAGGAACAAGTATATATCATTTCCATATTTGTCAGTTGCAAACACACCATCAACAGTGCAATGGATGCTTTCTGATTAATGTTTTTATGAATGCTTATGAATGCTTTGTTATGAATGCAAGACCAATTCAATTCAGTTAGGCTTACTCCCATCTGAATGTGCATGGGTTTGAAGCCAAGCAATTTATGAAGTTACAGTAACATCTAAATAAACAAATTTGCCAAACAAATAACAGAAATGTTATTGGTAAGTGAACCTGATTTATGAAAAAGTATTAGACTTAAAATTTAGTAAGAAAGCAAAGAAAATACTTCCCTGAAGAGATAAAACTTTTATTGGCATACTAGAATAGAAGGTGTTATGTATTAGTTTTAAAACAAAGTAACATCAGAGTTCTGTCATGTTATCCGAACAATCCAGAGATATATAACTTCATAGTTCTGTACACACCCAGTTGCTACCAAGGTCAGTATCAAATACTTATCATTCTATATGAAGTCTATGACATTGCATGGAAGAGCAATAATAGACAGTAAACATTAACTGAACTCGCAACTTTGCAAATGTACTTCATTTTGAGAAATATTTTTACAACTAAAATGCAAATAATAATGCAATAAATCTAGCTGTGGAAATGAAGAGTTAAAGTACCTTTTACAAACCAATCTGTTAGTCAAGAAAAAAAAGTTACAGAAAAGGTTAACATTGATTTAATTAAAAGATTAACACCTCAGAAATCTGCACTGTGGTATATACTAGAACCCATTTAATTAGATACATGAAGTTTGGTCTTCAAAAGGCCATAAAAGCATCTATCCAGTTTTGCAACCATGCCTTACACTTCAACACCAATCTTTCTTATATTGCTGTAGCCAGTCTTGCATTTATGGAGGAAGAGCAGTCTTCCTCTTCCTCCATAAATGGTTCTTACATTTTTCCTTTTTTGTTTCAAAGAAATTAAATTATTTGCAGGCAAACTAAATCTAATAACAGCCTCCACTGCAGAAGCCTCTGTGGGTGTGGGTGTGTGAAGAATATGTGGACAAAAGGTTGTGAATTTGGAATCAAGACACGGTTTAAGGAACATGGGTGAATTAGATGGAGAATTAGAGTCTGCCACATTCTCCCCTCCCTGAGTTAACACAGTGATACTGTTGTGGCAACGGCAACCACCTGATCCTTAAAAACCTGCTTTTGTATCCCAAAGCGACAGTAAGATGCAACAACTCCTAATTATGAAGTTCACCCTGGGAGCAGGGTGAAAGGAAGGTGACGAGAGAAGGATAAAGAAAGGATGAGGGTCTTGTTGCTGCCATAACAAAGCAGCGGCGATTTCCACCAAGCACTTCCATCCCAAGCCGGCGGCGAGAACCCCAGCTGGCCTCGACATTTAGCCCCTGTCGTTTCTATTTCCAAAACAGGTCGCTTATCCGAAGAGACGGGCAGCCCTAACTCTCTTATTTTGAATGGATTCCCCGCTCAAGCGCCGCGGAAGCCCGACAGGATGTGAACAGAGTTTCTTTCATTCGCGCTGTCGCTGTCCAAAGTGCCCCACCCCCAGTAAAAAGCCATATTTAGACAGAGAGAGAGAGCGAGCGAGCGAGCGCGTCTTAACAGCCCTAAAGAGAGAACCCTAATCGACTTCCTTCCTCCTCCCTTCCCGCAGGGCAGCACAAATCGACGCCGACCATCCGGCGACAGAAAAGCCCGAGAGGAGCAGCCTCTGCAGCCGCCTCAGCGAGGGCGACACCGTTCGGCTTTCTGAGGGATGCCGGATAGCCGAGCGCGGACCCGCCTGACAGACTCACCGGAAAGCTCGTCCGGTTCCAGACCAGTCTCGGTGTCCAGACCGCAGATGACGAAGTAGTCAGCGAAGCGGCCGGGAGCAGACGAAGAGGAGCCGGAGCCGCCGCCGCCGTCCCCGCCTCCACTCATGTTGGCGGAGCCCCTGCGAGGCAAGACGACTCAAGTCGCCCGGCGGGAAGAGGGGAGGTTTCGGGCCGCCGCCAGTGCGGCTTCTGCTTGTCGGGCTGCGGCTGCTCCAGCGGTCCCCAGTGCTGTTGCCTCCATGACGGAGCGGCCAGGGCCGCACGGCGTTGTGGGTAGCAGGCCTGACAGACGGGCGGACGAGCACACATAACAGGGCGCTCCGCTCCTCCGTGCCCCCCCTTGCCCAGATGTTTCGGAGTCGGGCGGTCGGGGGAGGAGAGGGCTGGAAGCGAGAACCGCAATGCTGCACATGCGCACTAGGGAGCAAGGATGACGTGATTCTCTTTGCGGCTTGCTTTCTGAGGGCTGCGGGGTGGAGCGAGGCGATGGGAAGAAGCGCTTCCCCGCTCCGCTGCTGGTTCTTTCTTCAGTACCAGCTGCCCGCGCAGAGGCATTTCTCTTTCTGCGTCGTTCTCGCCGCCGTCCCTGCACGAAGTACTTGGGCTCCCCCATCTTTTCATTCTGCCTCCGTGCTGCACAGCCCTCTCCTCCTGTCTTTTGTTTTTCCCCGCAATATAAGAACCAGAGCATGTCTCTTTAGCTTCTTTACAGCACCCCACCTTTTTCCCGAATCCCAAGTGCCTCATGAGTTCAACTGCGCAAAGTTAATTGCGATGGGGGCATCAGTCTGTATCTGCTCAGATTTTGAGAGAGTTTTGGACAAGATGACCTGACTAGGCCCATTTCCTTGCCACTGGCACTACCACTGCCCCTTCACTCTCTTGCCCTCTCCTTGTAGTCCCAGTTCACAGTAAGAATGTAGAGACTTCTGCTGCTCCTTCCACACTTGGAAAGGACATGTGAAGAGGTAGTAACAGCAAGGAATGGCTGGTCTAAAGGACTTTGCAGGTGGGCAGCTGCCCCTTCCTGTGGCCCAAGGTATGAGCTTCAAGATGTGCCCAGTGATTCTGATCCTTGAAACCAACCCTAATAGTCACAGATTCTCCTGCATCATGCACCACTTAGGTGGAATGCAAGAGTTATATCCCAACATGCTCCAAATACTTGCAAGGGACTCTGCGGTGTAGCTTGGAGACCATGCAGAACCTTTGCTGTATCTGCTCCTAAGTCTCTGCAACTAGCTGTTAATGGGGCTGACTCACAAAAACACATTACACTAGTTCTCTTCCCCCTGCACTGGCTTCAACTTAATGTCTGGGCCCAATTCAAAGTGCCAGTATTAACATTTAAGTCTCTAAATGACCTGGAGTCAGGTTATCTGAAGGCACACCTCATGCCATACTGACCAATTCAGACTCTAACATCATTTTTTGGGTCCTTCTCTAGAAGTTCCCTTCAAAGGAAGCAAAGAGGGTGGTTACTAGAAAGGCCTTTTCATTTGTGGCACCCTGCTTTTAAATGAGCTCCTCAAATAGGTTGGCCTTCCAAGGACTCAGTCCTTTTAGATGTTTTGCTTTACCACATTAAAACCAAAACAGATGAGATTTCTCAACTCTAAAACATAATTTGAGGATGCTTTCTACAGCAGTTTTGCATCCTCTATTCTTTGCAATCTTTGGCTTCACATAGACAATTTTATTTGGTCACAAAAACAATTTGATGATTATCAACAATTACAAGACTGAATCAAATGTATTTTTATTTTGGATGTTATAGTCTTTTAATCGTTTCCTATGCTATTTGTAACTTCAGCCATGGAAAGAAGATAGCATACTGCATCTTATAAGCAGCTGAGGTTCCTAGTACTTCTAAAGGTTCAGAAACCCAGCATGCAGCAATATACATCACATCAAATGAATTTTAAATATATACTATTTACATGATTATATAAAGACAATTCCAGATGCAGTGGGGTCACATTTTGGAATCACCCCCATATTCCCTTGGTTCTGAAATGGTGGACCCAACTGTTAGCATATTGGAACTAATTCATGGCTGTTTACTTGGAATCTTCCACAGAATTGCAGCAGGTTCCATTTTCTCTCCCTATTCTTTAACTATGTGCAACCAGTTGCAACTTATTGAGCAGGCTGCACTGCATTTGTATGCCAGAGTATGATTGCCAGGCATTGTGGAAGAGCTGATGAGGAGGAGGAAGAGGAGGAGACTGTAAAATAAAGCCAAATGTAGCCCTTGATTCGGTTTTTCAAAGGTATGTAAAATGATACTTAATAGTGTTTATGCAACATTTTAATAGTTTACATATTATTTCTTAATGACAAGTAGCTTCTCATAGAAAGCTGTAAATTTGCACTAAAAATACAACTATGTTTATACATGTTGATTGTCTTTATATTTACTGTATTTGGTCCAAGCTTAGGAATGATTTAACACAAGTGGCTGAAGGATGACAAAAAAAGCACTCAGCTTCATTGGAAATCTATTTGAACATTGTAAGGTAAGTGACTTATTTTACACAAGAAAACAGGGAAAGTATTTTTTCTCCACAAATTAAAAAAACAGTTTCTATTGACCAGGAGCTAAGTAATGCTCAGTGTGCATAAAAAGTGTCTTGAAGAAGCAGAAACTTAGATCTGATCTGGATACATTGCTTGCATATAAAGCACTAGTAGTGATCTGCATTTGCACTTGCAGTTTTATAAATGAGCTATGACACAGCAAGTGAAAGTGCTCCTACTGGTATAGGACTCACACTTTTCAATAGCAGCTATGTGTTAGACCTGTTTGAACTGCTGCAGGAGTATTTTGCACTCATTCCAAGAATCTCAAAGGACCGGTATTCAAGAGATGGTACACAAGGCTCTTGGCAGCATTCAGCTGAAACAATGAGATGCAACGAGTTACCATAGTAATTACCACAGAAGTGGAATCAAATGCAGCTCACAAGAGCTATGGTTACTGGGTGCTAACACAGAGACTCAAACCATAGCACTGCTATGCCAATAGACCACTTTATAAAAACACTTCTCCCCCTTGGTAAAGGACTAAAGTTTTTCTTGCTATAACAGTCAAGAGAGAATGCAGTAAGAGTGCAAGCCTCTGCATAGACAGACAGAAAAACAACTGCCTGCACTTATACATGAGTCTAAGTGGCTTTGGGAATGGTGAGGAAAAGCAGTCAGTCTCACTGTTCCTCCCACTTCATAAATTAACAGTTTTAGAGTTTCTTCTGTTTGTATTCCACCACCATTATTATTATTATTATTATTATTATTATTATTATTATTATTATTATTATTACAAAGAACCCAAAGTGGCCTCCTCCTCTTTTTATTCTCTCAGCAATCCTGTATGGTCAGATAGAGCCACTGACTAGCCCAGTTAACCATGAGTGTATCATGGATGAATGGGGACTAGAACCTGGATCTCCCAAGTCAGTCCAATATGCTATTCTCTGTGCCACATTGGCTCCAGTTTAGAATCTGGCAACCTCAATAGTTAAGAAATACGATGTCAATCTGGAGTACTATGTCCACTTTGGGGAACCACAGTTTAAGAAAAATGTAGATAAGCTGGGAAGGGTTCTGAGGTGGTCAACAAGGATGATCCAGGGACTGTAAACAATTCTGTGAGAAGAGATTGAAAGAACTGGGCATGTTTCGCCTTGAGAAGAGTGAGGGGTAAGTGAGGGGAGAAGAGTAAACTGTAAAATGGTTGGTTGCTTCAAGACTTTCCTCTTTAAGACATAGACCCAATTTGTCCCTCAGTATGTTCTTTAACTTGTTATTTTAAATTGTCAAAGATGCCATTTTACACATGCACACAAGAGGGTAATTCTCTTGGGTTATTACTTTCCACTTGCTAGCCAACTGTATTGCTTCATGCTCTCTGCAGATCACTGCATTGATTTGCATTCTGAAGGTTACCTGAGACGATTGTAAAAAATTGTTAAAAATGTATATGACTCCAAGTACTAGTACACATGCATCAACAAGAAAAAACATGTAATATTTGCACTGTATAGAGAAGGGGGAAGGGTGTTTTGAACAGCCTTAAGGCTTTTTAATATATATAGATTTGTTCTATGCAGAAGTCAACAAGCAAAAAAGTATGGGACAATTAGAAGGATAATCCTTTTTTGAATCTATTTGATTTGCATCCATAAAGAGTCACACAACTAGTTTCACACAGGCAAAGGAAATTTGAGCTCATATTTCTCAATCAGTAGCCTTCCACTTCACGGTAAGCCTATTTTGAAACTGCTGGGAGTTCTAAAAGTCATTTAGAATATAAGATGGAGGTCTGCTGTTCAAAGGAGAAGAATCCAATTGTGATGCACTTGCCCAAATCCCTGGACACATTTAAAGCAACTATTTAATGCTATCACAGCCAGTGTATGCATCTCTTTGTTGAGATTAAAGTTAGGGAGATGAAAGAGGGGAATAAAACTTTAAATACACGAACACTGAACACAATGAGCAGAATGATATTAAGTAAGGGGCTGTACCACAGAAGCTGCAATGCCCTCAAATCCATAAATTAACCAACAACCTGATAAGGTAACTAAGTATGTGAAGGTAATAAACAGGGCTAGTATGGTGTAGTGGTTACAGTGCTGGACTGGAGTTCAGATCCACTTGGTTGTGAAGCTCACCTATTGACTTTGGGCCAGTCACAAAATCTGGTTTGAGAGACTTGGGCATCAGCTTATCCTATCTTACAGGGTTGTTGAGAAGGTAAAATCAAGAGGGGGACAACCATGCAAATTACCTTGCATTCCTTGCAAAAAAGAAAATGCAAGATACACATGTAATGCTAAATAAAACTGAAGTGCTCTTAGTGGGTCGCTTGTCTGTGCAGTCAAATAGCAGTCACCTAATATTTATTATTTTATGTTTCCACCAAAAGATGATGCTCAAGACAGCTAACTTTTTTATCCAGACTGAAAATATCTTAAACATAGCAGAAAAACAAATTTAAAAACTCAGTAAGAAATAAACATGAACAAAACATTTAAAAACCCGTTCAACAACAATCAGTTTACGTGCCGAGTGTCTGCCTAAATAGAAATGTTATTCGTTGGCTGACAGCAAAGATGAAACCAACCTTACTTTCCCCACCAGAGACTAATAAATCCTGGGGGAAGCAGAAAAGGCCTTCTCTCATTTCCCCACCAAATGTGCTTCTGATGGTAGCTATAGCAAAAGAAGGCCCTCACCCTGCTCCCCACTGAAGATCTTAAAATCTGAGAAGGCTTATATAGGATTTTCAGTGTTCAGGGGAAGGCAGTACAAATCTAAAGGATCAGCAGTGCCTTTTAGCAGGTTAGGTTGATATACCAATTATCTCCCTATGTGAACACAAATACTCAGTCTAGTTAGCCACACTCTTGCAACTGTTCATTTGGATTACCGCAACATGTTGCATTTGGAACATGATATCCAACACACTCTTATTGTTAGGGTGGGTTAGCATGATATGCAACAATACCCAGTGAAGCAATGATCAAGCAAAACTGCAGTGCTTTCAGGGTCAAACAAAATACCATCAGGTCCAAACAAATCTTTTAGGAGAGTGAGTTCCAAAGGCAGGATACGTACTTTACTAGAAAAAGCCCACAGCTCTGATGGGGCGAGCATGTGACAGAGCCTCCATAGAGGACTTCAGTGGACAGGCTGAATTGTATGAGAGAAACCTCCATTTGTTTGTTACTCTGTAAAGTTGTGTGTTGGTGTGTATGTTGCAGCATTCCAGTAATAAATGATAGTACCAAAGCAAGGGAAAAGAAACAGTTATTTGTACCCTCATCCTGAGCTACTGATGCACACAAAGAAAAAATATGAGCCTCTGAATATGACACATAGATCATTGGTTACACAATGAAGCAGTTGCTGTTAATTTATTGAATTGGGCTTATTCCACCCTACTCCAAAGACTCAGCACAGATAATATTATTAAAGACAGCACATATTTGAACTCAATATACCACAAAAACCAACCTACCCACCCACCCACCCCCAAAAAACACCATCTTAGAATATGCCTGTATTTCATCCATACTTGTTGCATTTTCATGTTAGAAGTAAAACAGAACCACCATGAGGATGGTTTCATTACCCGCACCACTCCAAAAACCTGTCTTTATTTTTTTAGGTGCCAATGTAATACAGTCTTCACATTTATGAAATTGTTTTATTGTCAGATAGAAGAGACATGTTGTCATGTTTTCAGAGTCATACAACTCCTGAGAATGTTAACAGCTCAGAATTCTACAACAGCTGAAAATCTTTAGCTATTTTTAACATGGTTGCTTCCTGAAAAAAGAAAAAAGCTACTGTTCTTTTTGAGCCAACTGTATAACCAAATCTATTCCATTTTCATTTCATTAAATAGGATTAAAACCATACAGTTCTGTACAACCTAAACTTCTTATACAATGCAAATAAATGTCTAAAAACATTGATAAATACTAACTCAAGATATATTTTATTTTGAACAGCAAAGACAGAATTGAAAATTATGTCTGTGTTGATGCAAATCAGGAAAATTTGGAGAAAGCAGAGCTGTAGTATTGACTACACAATTAGTCTGCAATAATTTATTACTCAGCCAAAAGGGTTCAGCATCATATTAGTAGCACTAGTTGTTACAAATGTATTTTAAAACATCTATGAACAAACCTCTGTGAATAGATCTAAGAGGTATAAAAGTCAATCTAGTTAAACATTTGATTATGCCCCTATACTGTTTTATTATGATGTAATTCACCTGATAAAAAAATCAAGAGGCAATGAAAACTGCATATGTGGAACACGTGACAAAGCATATGAATGTATTTTATGTGCATTTACAAATAATACTGTAATAAAATTACTCAATCTATATTATGTTACAAAGGAACAAAATTGCAGCTACCAGTATCCCTCCATATTCCCCAATGCTCCTGTATTTCATGAGCTCCACTAAAGAGAGATGATTTCAAAGAGCTGGGAAAGCGACATCATAACAAAGCCACAAAAATATATTAGCTTTTCTCTGGCAAGTTCTAACCCAATTTAGTTAAGTATCAAACACAGTAGAATGTCAACCAAAGAATCCCTAGTGGCATCAACTCTGTAAAACAAGCAGACAATGGACACACTCTGAATTAGGCATGATTGAAGTTGCATTCCACCGCTTTCAATGGGGCTTAGCTACAAGTAACTTTTCTGGATTGTGGCTAATGGCTTTTTTAAGTGAACAACCACTGCTGTATTCCAAAGATGTTAATGTTGTCTCTTACATATCAGTTAGCTAACCAGCCTACAGACTTCAGGGTCTCCATTATCTACTCACCTCCATCTTGTGCACTATTCTCCATTGCTCTTAAGCAGCACAGCAGAAACTGTAATATTAGGCAGTCTAGAAGAGCTTCACACTCAAAAGAGCAGCAGGGAGCTTCTGTTTCCAAATGCAAGAACAGTGTGCACTTTACATGGCTTGTAAACTAATTAGTAGGTGAACAACACTCAGGGAACAAAAGACGCAAACCAACATGTACGGGGATGGAACAGGTACCATATTGTAGTTACTCAGACCAGCTGGTACATTATGCACAATGACTGGCACACTAGGCTTGAAGTTAAAGAGGAATAGAGAAGGCTGGAAAGTAATCTGGTCTTGCTTATGAGAATTGTGCAACTATTTGACTGTTCAGTTTACTGCATATATCCAATACAAAAAATAATAACCAGCCTAAGACAGGTCCATGTTTGAAAGCTGTCCTGAACTGGAACAGTATAATGAAGCCCACAAAAAAAGAAAATATCTTCCTAGGCAACAGCAGCAGTTTTCAAGAAAAGGTATCATTACCTTTGCAAATAAAACCCCTAACAGAGGACTTTTGAAAACAGATTTTAGCTTTGGAGTCAATTACCAGGCAGCTTTCCATCAAAACAAGGACACATCATCCTAGTACTAAGAACTATTTACAAGATGTATAGTTTGTACATGATGACCTTGACCCAGAGGATGTACGCATGCATGCATAAACACGGAGCTTCCTCATGCCTGGGCACATCTCATTCATTTCAACTCTAGGGGAATGAAAATAAATGCGCTTGTGCTTGATGGAGAACCTTGGGGGCAACTGGAGCACCCTTGAATCTTTGGATCAAAGGCAGTGCATTCTTGTTTTGCATGGGCATGTTGCATAAATAAAAACCCAAACATAGCATATCTAATTAAACTTAAGTGATTTTTTAAAATACCAATTACATTTGCCAATTAAAAAAGTGATTTCCACCTTTCTGCACTTCAATATACATTTATAAATACATTCTAATGATTGCTATAATTTTGGAAATAGCTGCCATATATCAGAAATACTGGCCAAAAATGAAAAGAATCCCAAATTCAAAACTCTAGCATTTTTATGTGCTATGAGAAAGCCTGATCAGCTCCCACACCAAACCCAGAAGTTAATATACAACATCCATAAAAAGAGAATTACACAATATGTTTTAGCTCTTCCAGTTGGCATTAAAAAAATGAAACCCAGGGACTTATGACAGCCTGGTCAAAGCACCTGTCCCCGCTCTCTAACTAGGAGCTCATGCAGTCTGTTATTCCACTGGGATATAGAATCAACTGTGCAATTCACTATTCTGTAGGGAGTATGAATGACAGTGAAAAGAGGAGAACAAAACAGGAATTAATTATTCACATTAAGTTATCACAAGCAAAATCAGATAAGGCATACATGTAATAGTTGAAATTAAATATTACAGATTAGTTAAAAGTAACAATCCTTTTCATTTTTATATAAAAAGCTATGGTTCACCTTAATATTATTCCAGCTGTAGTTATTTTGCCTTTGTGCCCCATAAATAAATCTGAGCAAGAAGTTCAGTAACATTTTTATCCCTTACAATTCTCTCCTGTTGAATTGCTAAAGATCCAATAGAAAAGTGATAATAGAAACAGTGCTGATCCTGAGATGAAATATGGGAAGTGAAGATCCAGGCTGAGCCTTATTCAAACTTTTGTTTAAGTTTCTTCTGGAAAAGAGCTGGCAGAATGGAGAGTATAGCTAAAATCATGAGAATAAAAACTGAGTTCCAGGAGACAGCTTCACCAGCTGTTGTAAGTTGGTAAAGTGTTGTACCAGCTTTAATTGCTACAAAAGATGGTGGTGCGACACCTGCAATGACAGTTAAGAAATCATATGAGAAATAGTGAAGAACTTCCAATACAATATGATATTTTAAGAACACCTGATCTTATACAGTTACCTTACATAATCCAATTAAGTTATGAAGCAATACACACACACACACTTCTCTTCCATGGCTTTGCTTTTAAATAATTTTTACATCTTTTTAGGCTGCCACAGTGTTATTATTTGTATCCAATTTACACCTAGCGCACTGATACAAGACAGCTTATCAAATCAAACCATAAGTACAATACCTTTACTGTGCAAATATAGTAAAACTAGTGGATACAACTGAGTCCTGAGATACAACTGAGATGAATTGTATATTGTATCCAGAAGTGAACTGCTAAAGGTATTAGACAATATTCTGAATGGGCTGTCCCCTCCACCAGTTGAAACTCTTGGAAAAACTCCGCAAGCACCTCCACATAAAAGCACAGTACCATAAACTAACCTGGAAGTGACAAGCACGTGAATGGCTGAGGCTAAGTCTGATTTCACCAAGAAAGAATACGGTTAACATATATGAAAAAGATGGTAAAATGCATTATTACCATTGCCTTTACTTGAGCATCCATGTTCATTTTTGAACCTGCATACCAGTTCATTTAAGTGTCCATTCAGAATAAGTTAACACTTAATCCATGATCATCATAATCCCCACCAACTGTATTCCCATCTTTTCTCAATTAAATTTCAGTTTGTTCACCTTCATCCAATCTAAGCTAGGCAACAGTGATGTAAATCCATTAGTAAAAGCAGCATTTTTAAGGACTGGTTTCACAACAGGCACCTTCAGAATTAATGGAAATGCCCTTTCATGGAATAAAGTATTTATTACTAGACTGCGCCTGACAGCTTTAATAAGCCGGGAAGGAAAGGTTCTCATTTCTTCAGCTAATTTTTCCACATCCTCAGGTGGAATAAGCTGAAATGTCTTCAACATAAAGTTATCAGCCAGAGTCCCTGTAACATCTAGAACCAATTATAAAATGAACACAGTAAGAGCCAATTTAAGAGGCTTTATCTTTAAAGTGCATTGCAAAATAGTCACATTCCCCTGCTGGCATGATTAAAACAGGCATTTTACATCACTGGATAACACTGGGCAGGCACACTGATAGTAGTAAAAAAGGTTTCTACATTATGACTGCCAAAGTAGGTTCCAGAATAGGATCCAGTATGTGACCGATCTGCAGTATTTCAGTTCTTACATAAAATATATGTGCCTATATTTTTTTGAACAAACAATTAAGATAACAATACAAACTGAGTATGAAAGTTACTCAAAATTTCTAAAATTGTCCAACAGATGGGGCTATGTACTAACAAATCATGCAGAAAAAAATGATTTACATTTTGACAATCTTGAATATTAATCAGAATTCTTACCTAGGAAAGTACCAATGAAAAATACTTTCAGTGGGACATTTATTACAGGAGAGGTTATATTGATAAACCAATTAGGAAGGAAAGGAGTTATTCTCAGAAATATTATGTAGTTAATGAGGTGTTCTCTGTGTCGTTCAACCTGTGAGATACAAAAATGCAGATTAAAAGAAGCCTATCCTAGAAACATAACAATTTAATAATTTTCATTGTAGAAGAATCCTCTTCAGTGGTGAAAGCTGATCGTCAGCTAGCTAACCCACATAAAACAAATTCACATAAAACAAAAAGTATCAGCAGGTTTATGAAAATTCCAAGATTTGAAGAATGGGAAAAAGTATGTATGAGGGGAACCTACGTGAGAACTGACCATTCTCAATGACTGTAGAATACTCACTGAGGCTTCGGGGAAAAACATAAAACCAGGCAAGAGTAGGAATGTAATGAAGAGAGAGACTGTGGGAGAGAGCCACGGCTGACTGACCAGAACACAGTACTGCAACATTTATTGGTAGACACCATGTGTTCTCTCCAGTCACTGAGGGAGTTTGTGCTTCAGTTTGGAAATGAAAGAGGCCACCCCACAAAAGTGAATGTTTCCTATGTAATCAAAGAATGCTCTCTATATATACAACTATTTACATTTAACTTTTAAAAAGCAACATGCAAAAGACCTCTTGGAACAGAGTATGTTGGGAAATGAGGGGTTGCAGTGAGACAGGGAAATCTGGAGAATTTGGCAAGGGTCCCTTGTGTAAGCAGAAGCGCCTTTCTGCTCATCTCTGGATCCAAACTACAGTGTCTTTAATATTACAACTACTTTTAGGAAGCAGAATAAATGGATGATCTAACATGTATTAATACTGAACTTTAAAAATGCAGGCAGATGTGCTGCCAAAGTGATCTTACCTGTTTTGACCATTTCATTGCTTTCTCTGTTAAATATCTATACACGACTGGCCTTCCAACCAAATATGACAGCATATAACAGAAAGAAGCCCCAAGTCCAGAGCACTGCAAATGAATTGGAAGTGATTATCTTACATAAACTCATTCAACTAAATATAATGAACATACAACTAAGAGATGATTGAGGCACTTATCCCTACTCCATCTGGAGACTATCTTCAGGTTGCTCTCCCATGTTTTGTTTTGTTTTTGTATTAAATCTAGGGGTACAGAAAACTAGGGAAAATAGGTTAAAATCTCCAATATGCTAGTTTTAAAACCAGAATGTGGAAGAGCCTTCAAAGATGCGATTCCATTCATGCATTCCAGGATGGTATAGTCTAGGCCAGTGGTGGTGAACCTATGGCACGCCTGCCACAGCGGGCACACAGAGCCCTCTCTGTGGGCACGCGAGCCAAGTCGCCCTAGCATCACCCCAGCGGCCGAGCATCGGATAACAGCGCACATAGGGGCCATGCGCATGCTCGGAAAGGAGTAGCAGTGCCAGGCAATGATGTCGCAAGTGGCAACTCATTAGCCGCAACTCACCCGAGCTTTCGCATGGCCAGTCAGTGCACTGCCAATGTATATATGCATGCTTGGACTGGCTGTGAGTTTTAATACATTCATTTTTATTAACACAAGATTTTAGCTTTGAGTTTTCCTACAAAAAATTGAAATATAATATCTAAGATTTAGCAAATACATGTTCTAATTAAGAGACTGAGATTCTTTTAATGTTGTGCTGTTCCCCCTGGCATATTTGAATCTGCAGCATCATATTTAGTTGTTTTTTCTAAAGTAAAACCTCAGCATTCAGGTTTTATTGCAGTGTGGGCACTTGCTATAAATAAGTGGGGTTTGGGTTGTAGTTTGGGCACTTGGTCTCTAAAAGGTTCACCTGGTCTAGGCTATGGTGTGATTTAGATGAACATATACTTCAGCTTTTGTGCAAGCATGTAGTGGTGTGCTTTTCTATAAGAAGTACAGTACTAAGCACATCTAAGCCCAATTAAATTAGCCAAATGAGTATTGTGTGGTACATGGGAATGTATGTCTGTACCTGCATATGGAATTACTGGATGTTGCAGATGAGAAGTCTCATCCATGACTAGAAGCATACTGGGAGATTTATTTCCTTTTTTAAAAGGTTTAATACTTAGTTGAAACAGTATGTTAAATACAGTCACATGTACAACCTTATTCATTTACATGTAAATAATACAATTAGAACATTTTCTCTATTTTAATTAAGCCAGTTATATGCCAAATTAGAATCTGCTACTCTGGAAATCATGCCAATTAATTCATCTACCATTCAATTCTGGTGAATATGTTAAGAATGCTGAGAAAATTATTTCCAAAATACTTTCACACAGATGCTTCATTTGGAAAAACTGTCAGCCAAGCTGGTCTCTCACTCTTGTACAGTTACTTCAAGGCTGCAATCCTATGCCTAGTTATAAAGGAGTAAACTCAACTGAACACAGTGGGCCTTACTTCCAAGCAGACCTACATAGGATTGCTATATAAATTACTAGACACTGTCACCACTGAATCCCACAAATATTATACAAGTAACATGGGTTGTAGCCAAAGTCAAACTGTTTATTTCAGGGGGTCTAACTATAAATAGGATTCATGTTAGATACAACTTGTAATTTCCAAAGTGATACACCACCAACTTCACAGTTACCCACTCTTATAGACAGGGGAGTGATATTTAGGTGAAACTAGTTTTAAAAAGATTGCACGCAATATGACCTGTTTGCCATTGGAACGGATTACCCCCCCTTCCCTGCCCCACAGCCATCCAAAATATGCTCAAGAGTTGGAGGACCCTGTGGAGCAGCTTTGGGATGCATACAGGTACTGCAAAGGACAGCAAAGTAAAGTCCCATTTCACAAGCAGGACTTATTTTACATAATCCTGGACTTAATCTATATACTAGGATTTTTACACTAAAAACATCATGGCCCACTGTTACTAGGCAGCAATATGGTCAGCAGATATGGTGAACACTCATCCAGAAAGTATGCCCTTTTGGTGAGTTGGCCCCTGACTCATCACCATTTCAAGTAAAAACAAAATAAAACCCAATAGTTATGCCAGTCGTGCAAGATTGCTATAATATTTGGTTAGCATATAGCAATTACCCTTGGATTAATTCATGGATTATCAGGGCTACCACACTGCCTTACAACTGCTTGCCATCTCTGCTTTCTTCCTAAGTAGAAAATAACTGAGGAGTGCCAGGTTCTAAAGTTCTAAAGCTGGAAAAAGAGTCAGAAGATGGGCATTTATTCAGCCTGTTTTGCACCAGCTGTACTGTCTGGCAATTTTCTTCAGTATTCAGTTTAAAGTGGTAGTTATAAACTTCACCTTTAGGGCTATTTCTCCTTTATGGAGTCATCTGCTAGCTCAGGACTACTTAGCAGGCTTTACTGTCTGTGCATTTCTGCAGCAGGTTTGAAAACGACAACTAGAAATCTGACAATCCAGCAATGGGCCCATATTTATAGAACCTTCTTCTTGAACAAATGAAAAAGAATATGCTTTGACAGTTTTTAAGAAAAAGTCTAAGGCATAAAACAATCAGACTTTTCAGTTGCTTTTAACACTGTCAGTTTAACTGCAGTGGTAAGTTATTGTACTGTTAGTTTCAAATTATATTTCTGTTATCATATAGCACTTTGAACCTCCTGGAAAAGTGATATAAAATATTTTGTTTTTTGCTTTACCCTGCACCTAGTTCAATATCACATGTTAAAGATTAGACTTGCTACTTGTATAACACTCTCATCATCTGTTTTTACAGCACAAACACCTTAAATAAATACTTTGGAAGGGAAAGAGTATCCTTCACTTGTAAGTAATACTTACCAAACAAACAAGAAACAGAGCTAGTGGGAAGGGGTAGAGAAATCCTGAAAGTATACTCAGAAATATAGATCCAGGGATGGCAAATGTTTGCAGGCTGGATGATGGGTTTTAGTTAAGGAACAAAATGATTTAGCAATTATAATCATGCAAAGCAATCTTACACATGCTTATTCAGACAGAAGCCCCAGTGTGTCTAAGATAGTTTACTTCCAGGTATGTGCACAGGATGGCACCTATAGAAAAACTAAATTGACATAATTTATTGAAAAGTATTACCTCCCTGTATAGGCAATTTAAGGAATATGGATGCTAGATATATAATTATGGAAGCCTTCGAAGGGTGGAGGTGGGATTCCAAACTCAAAGCACCCCCACTGCTAGCATGGAAGGACCTGTTCTAGCTGTGGTTCCAGTGCTGCCTCAGAGATTACTTTTGGGGGGCAGTGCATAGAGATGGCAAACTCATCTCCTCATGCTCCAGGGCAAAAAATGCAGATGACTGAAATCAGTGACCATAATTCTCTGACTTTAAAAGGTTATGGACAGCATCACTGGATTATGCTACTTGGTTGCAATCCTATGCCCACTCTCCTGGAATTGATTGATCGATGCTTTGCTTTGTATCCCAACCCACTAGCCATTGGTTGTCTGGGCGGCTCACATCATTAGGATTAAGCTAAACTGAACTTTATAGGGCCTTTTCCAAGTAGACGTGTATATGACTGCATTGTTCTTTCACTGTCTGAAACGTACTTATACTACTCAGGCATGTGGCACCCTAAGTCTTCTCTGCCTACAGCCTCTCCACAAATGTCACTGTTTAGGTATACAATGTTTTATTTTTATTTTCTATTTATTTTTCTATTTATATCCTGCCTTTTCCTACAAAGGGCTCAAGGCAGCTTACATCATTCTCCTTCTCCATCTTGTCCCCACAACAACAACCCTGTGAGGTAGGTTGGGCTGAGAGTCTATGACTGGCCCAAAGTCACCCAGTTGGCTCCATGGCTGAGCGGGGACTAAGCATAGATCTAAAATTGTGTAAACATAACCATCACATTTATAGCACAAATACGCTTCCCAGGGAAGTGCAAGTGACTACCTATTGAGCATGCACTTACTATTTTATTTCTATACCACCCCTTAGTCAAATGACTTTCTTACCAGCTGATCCATGCTTCAGTGAGAACAATACAGGTATTGCTTAAATGTGCCATTTAAAAAGAAATAACAGCATTAAGACTGAGAATTCTCACTAATCTAAAACATTCAGTCTAGCGTACATATAATAGATATCCTGCCTCTCTAATGTTTTTTAAAGGCTTTAAAAAATAATCAGTTAATCTGATCTTCTGGGTAGGCTACTTAATTCTGTGGAATGAATAAATTGTAACTGAATGGCACTATGCAATACCCTTTATTATAGCTGCTAAAAGTTGCTCATATGGAAGTAATTATAACATGATTCCAACAACTTTTTAAAAGGCAGTTGAGTCAAGGGCTCATTTCTATGTGTTTTCAACAGCATAGCAAAAACAAATTAGCATATTCTATCCCCACAGGAAAGACACGAATAAAAATAAAGCTGCTTGTTTTAGCAAGCAGACTATGTGTTAAGAATTTTCTTTCAGAAGTGAATTCACAGCATCAAAATGTTTATGTGAATAAGTAAATGCTTCACGAATGCCCTTGCCCCCACTGACATCTTACATGCAGCTGAAAAATACAGGATTAAATCTGTTCATGTTAGCTTTCGTCTTCTTAAAAAACTATTTTTTCAAAAGTCACTTCAATTATTGACTCCCATGGCATTCCACCCACAGATTTTACTAAGTTAATTATTATTCTATTGTATGAAACTGCAGATTCATTTTAAATGAATAAATATAATGTTGTGCATTGAGGGTTAACTTGAACCTGCGTTCAAGCCTCTGCTTGGACTATACTGGAATCATTAGTTCATGAGGTTTCATTCCTTCTCCACACAAGTGGAATTATCTACCTCACAGGATTGTTATATGAATGAAATCAAATTTGTTCATAATGCACTTGAGGGCACAGTTGTAGGGCTGCAGCCATTTCTCTCAAAACACAGCATTCCCAGTGTGAAAGCTCAGTCATGGAATGTGAACTAGATAAAGAAGAGATGGAATGTGGCATGGAAATGTCAAAATGAGTGAAATTTCTCAGATAGCTGCTGAGACCCAAATAACCTCAGGTTCAGGGAGACACTCTAGAATAGGGAGGGTCTGAGGAAGACGGTTGTGAATTTATTAACCCAGTGAACTAGTGTCAAGTCAAGGTCATTGGACTACAGGGGCCTTTTGACTAATCCAACAAGGTTCCTATTAACCTTTGGACAGTATGGGAGGTGGTGTAAGGGTATGAAGTAAACAGAATGTGTGAAAATCAGTCTTCCTGTTCCAGCAACAGTAGTCTCTGTTGCATCAAAGAGCTTCTCGTGAATGGAAGGAAAGCAATGGATTCAGCCTTCCATCTTGAAAGATGCTGAGTACGCTGCTCAGATGCTGCAAGGGACAAGGGAGGGATCCTTCCATTCACTTGTCTTAGGAGCCAGAGCACACTAAGCAGAGGGATCACCATTGCCATACAGGAATAAAAATGTCTAAAAGGTATTTCACAACAAATTCTATGTAACCATAGGTGGGGGTTGGGGGGCATTTAAAGGATACAAAACATAGGTAGCAAAATAGGCCACTAATACTTGTACATAGAAGTTATCTTTGTATTTAGAAAGAACAGTTCCTAAGGCTTTAGCATCATCCATATCTCTAGGAATCTTTATACACTGTCTCTCCTCTCTGTTGAAAAAAAAAATCAGGTTACCAACAAATTAAGCTATCACTTTCCATCCAATATTAATGATACCAATGCACACAAGTCACCAATGTTCTTATGAGGCAAGCATTCAAACATTTCTAGTGAAATAGTGATTACACTCATTTTGATGTAGTGGCTTCTCCAATCCCATTATCCCACTGTGTGTAACAAGAGTTTCATCAGAGTGGGCCCTAACTTGCCACCACTGCTGGTTTGTAACCCATTCAGATTTTAGAGTTACTTCCAAAAAAAAAAAAAATCAGTCAATAGGGCTAAAATTACCAGATAATTTCAGAAGATCAAAATCTTTGCCCTGTCTCCTCAGTAATTAACCAAATTCAAAGTCTATGTTCAAAACTAGGTCACATTCAGCAAAATATGCCACTCCAGTGCAAATATTTTAACAGTTCCTAGCAGCAGATGAAAGACTTAACGTTTTTCAAGCTTTGCACTGTTTGAACTTTTTATCTAACTTACACACAGGAGAAGCTTTTGATTTAGTGTCAAAAAAAGAGCTAGTAAGGAACAATACAATCCTTTACATGTATTCTTGGGAGCAATCATTTTAATCATGAGTTTCAAGCATGTTTGCTTTGCAACCCCCCCCCAAAAAACTTATGGATTTAATTCCAAAACCAAACAAAGATTTGAGCGATCCTGGAGCCTATAGACCTATATCTTTAATTAACCATGATGTGAAAATTTTTACAGCAATATTGCCAAAGAGGTTGAATAATTTTATTGGTAATTATGTTAATGTGGATCAAAGCCATTTTCTAATAGGTAGACAGATGGCAAATTTGACTAGAACAGAATTAAACATAATTGAATATAAGAAAAATTTAAAAGCTGGTATAATAGCATATTTTTAAAGCTTTTGACTGTGTGGAATGGCCAACAATAAAGGCATTAATGGAGATAATGGTGTTTGGTCCATGATTTAGAAATATAATAAATCAATTATACTCAGAAAACTTTGCAACAGTGATAGTGAATGATGGTATAACAGAACAAATATCCCAGGCCAAGGTACTAGTCTGGGTTGCCTTCTCTCTTGCTTTAACTATAGAACTGCTAGCAAATTGTATTAGAAATGATAATTCAATAAAAGGTATAGGATTTGAGAATAAAATTAAGATTATTTGCAGATGATACATTCTTAACAATAAAGGATCCAGTTAAGGTTATGGACTAGATTAAAATGCATTTAACAGAATTTGGAGAAATAACAGGTTTACAAGTAAACTAGGACAAATAGGTGATACTATTTAATAGTAATAAAGTAGAAAAGGATGAGATTAAGAGAAAGTTAGAAGTTAAGATATGTAAAATTATTAAGTATTTAGGGGTAAAATTACAAAAATGCAATATTTAAGAGGGAATAATTTTGATAAAATATGAAATGAAAGAGAAAATGAATGAATTTAGAAAGATTGATTTATTATGGTTTGGTATAATAGAGGCAATTAAAGTGAAGATTTTACCTAAGATTAATATCTTGTTCAGGATTTTGCCAATCAAGTTAACAGAGAAAGATTTGAAAGAATGGCAAAACATGAAAGAAATTAGTAAAATGTTTAATTTAAACATTGAAGCAGACCCCGGCCTCACATTGTCATCATTATTTAGAGAACAAGTGGGACAAAATATTAAAGACTTTAAAATTAAACTGTAGTAACAGTAGTAAGATTAATAATAGCAAGAAATTGGAAAGTAAAACGTGATTATCAAATAGAATACTGGTACAAAGAAATTTGGAATATAGCTATTAATGATAAGTTAACTTCCAATATTAAGTGGAAAGAAGGTTTGATAAGCAAAGATAATTTTCAAAAGATTTGGAAACTGTTTATTGAATATGTCTGAACAAAAGGAATGGGGTGTGAACCATCACAAGTATCAGTGCAGGAGAAACAAGGAACAACTGTACAGACAAGTTTATACTACAAATATAAGCCAATAAATGAGGCATCTCACAACAGTTCCAAGCAATCTCAAGTCTACAATGGCAAGGTTTTTTGTGTGAGAGGGGAGGGTCTTGAGCAGAATCTGTTAAAAAAAAAACTTGAAATGAGCATCAGAAGAGTTTATCTGTAGTTGAAAATTGCCTAGTGAAGAGAGTATTTGCTGAAGTTATGCCTAACAGCAAAAGCTTGAAAAGAAATAATTGCTGAAAATACAGGATTGTATAACTGATAGGCATTAATAAGTGCTTCTTTAATCTCTAATCCCAGAATTTAAGACTAGCTACCGGGGAAATTTACATACTCTCACAAGTAGAACCAAAGGCCACAGTTACCCAGAAATTTGGTGCATTATATACCATATTACCCTGGAAAAAATAAGTTGGCATTACATGCTATCCTGGGTGGATGCAACTGTGTCCATCTTTGAACAACAATTAACTGGCTGATGGGAGAGCACAAGCAGAACATACTGGGGTGTGTTGAGAATTCCTGAAACACTAGACATTTTATACTTTCTCTTTCTGGAGGATCTCTTGAACACCCTCCTCACCCTGCCAGATTTCTACAGACCCAAAAGTTTCTCCAAATACATTTCACAAGAGTTTCTGGAAACAAAGACACATTCTCTCTCATATACTTACTCACTAAGCTGTGGAAAGTTCTGATATACAAGAAACATAACAGAGGCAGCTATTAAGAAGATGCACACTAATATGAGAAGTGACATTCGTGCAGATCCACCTTCTTTATGAGCTTTTCCTGAAATGGAAAAAAATAAGATTAATCCAAGAGTGTTTATATGATTACTAAATGGTTGGGGTGAGGAGGGACTCTGAAGCTATATATGCATTTTCCATTTCTTTTTACCCTAAAACCACATTTAGAAGCAGGTGCAATAGCAACAAGCAATCAAGCCAAACAAGAAGCATACCTCAATATTAAACTTCATTAACTGTGACTTAAACTCACAAAATCTCCATCGCTCAAATGGCAAGAGGAAACACAGAATGATAACATCATTTGAGAACTTCTAAGCAAGCAAGCAAGCTGGTTATATTTGCTGGCTGGAGTTTTGCACAAGACTCTCACTCAAAGATCTCCAATACCACAGGTCTATAGCATTGCCTTCCATAACACAGGGAGACTTGAAGGTGAGATACACTCAGTCAGTCCCTTTGTTGTACTCAGTTCATTGCACATTATGGTTTACACAGATGGTGCTACTTCCCCTGTGCAATGTGGGGGACTGATCAAGATGGCCTGCCCTATAGCTAATGAATCCAGATGATTTCCAGAGGTCTCTAGGAAGAGTTCCACTTAAAAGGACTAGGAGTTCTGTAGAAACCTATAAAGCCTTACTTGGCTTGGGAATGCAATACCTGACAGTGTCTTGTCTGTCTGACCTGAATCACTACACTACAATCAACACCTGAGGCCTTCCTCTAAATGCCACCTCCAAGGAGGCCTGGAAAAGGGCCTTTTCAATGATGTTTCTTCCCTCAAATAATTCCACTGCTAAGCCCACTGTAATCCCAATACTGTAATCTTTTCAATACCAAGTTAAGGTCGCTCAGGCATTTAATGGCATACAGTGAGGGCATCTATGTCAACTGGCTTCAACATGCTTAGCATTCTATTGAAACTGTTTTGAGATAATTATATTGTTGTAAATTTTGCATACACAAATGTAATGCTGTAGTTTATCTATGGTTTCTGATCTGATGTGTTTTGAGCCATCCAGAGAGCTTTGGCTATCGGATGGTATAGAAACTGACTTAACACCATTAAATAGCTAGGCTCTTGTCTAACCTAAGTGTAGGCAACCTTTTGATTCTGTGGTGGCCATGTCTGGAAACCAGAGAACTTCTCATGGGCATAACCATAACATGGTTACCACAGGGGGACACAGGTAGTTCCAAAGAACAAGAAGCCTGCTAAGAAGCATTCAAGCATCAAGTGCTCCCATTTTGCTTTGAAGTATCATACCTGCAAGTGAGAAAATATAAAAATGTATTTCAATAAGAGAAGTAGGGTGTCTCAGTGGATACCAAGGAAGGTATTGGAGGGGTAATGGTGTCCATGATGGGTTCCTATGCTGCAGGTAACTATCCTATTTCAGAAAATCAGAGAACCTACCAGAAAGACTAGCCTGACCCCATCCACAAGCCAGAAGAGCAGCAGCTGAAAGAAGCATGTTTCTCTTTCTCTGCGAGAAAGACTAGAATGCCAGTCCAACTGCCAGTTACTCTAGGACTGCAGAAAAATGTACTTTGACTTTTGTCACTAGCTAGGAAAAGATGGGATAGTGATGTACATAGCCACATGTAGTATGTATCTACATGTTGGCAGGGAGGCCAATTTGTCCAAATCAGATGATACTACTGTCATTATGTAACTTCAAGAATTGATACCTAAAATGTTCTCGTTTGCTTCTTCCCTTCCTATTCCTTTTTGCTTTTGTATCATACTTATCCAAGAAGGAACTTGCTTGTCTTTCACTTTTTGCACAGGACTCACACTTTAGATACTTTATAAGTGATTATCAAGTCAGACAACAGAACTGGTAATAATGAAGAAAATGTACAAAATACTTTGAGTCAAACCATGTGAGAAATGTGTTTCTTTGTACTTAAACACACTTAAGTCCACTGTTTTCAATTACTTTGAGCATAAAACAATTATTACAAGCTCACTAAGCACTTTTAAATACTATGCATGAACTAGTATTTTGAGAAACACAAGTCAATTTGGCAAAGTAATTCATACTTGCTCAAGTATAGACAACCACATGTTGGGAATTACATGAGCAGAGCTGGCCGGAGCCAGGGGTCAGACTAGATGTCCCAGGAGACTCTTCAGTCTCACTCCCCCCCCCCCATGTTTCTAAGTTTACAGTCACAAGTTCAAAGGAGTGCTCACCTCTTTATGAGTGGTGGTAATCAAGTAGTAAGTGTATCACTTAGGTTTTCTCCATAGAGAGAGATAAGAAATCTGTGCATGATAATTTATCTGAGAAAAATTTTATTCAGAGAAGCAGTGGTGTGATAGAGCTATTGCATAGCAAGCTGACTCAATCACCCAGCCTAACTTATTTGCTCAAGAGCAATAATAATCCCAGAGCGTTTACTGCAACTGGTCATGCCATGATTGTGCAATGTGTAGAGCATTTTCCTCTTGTGATATAATTATGAGCCAGCAGGAACAGAATAGAAATGATGAAGCATTCATATAAGTTTTAAACAATCCTATGATGAGTCATAAAAATTACGAGACCTAGTAGTTTTCCTAAAAGTCAGCTTGGTTCTTACCAAGCTTACAAGCTTTTCTATTGCCTTACATATTAAACAGAAGACATGGCATTTGAACAGCTGCTGCTATCAAAGCTTTCATTACTTCTCTCATAAGAGAGACCAGTGTGACACAGTGGTCAAAGTGTTGGGCTGAGACTCCGGAGATCTGCATTCTTGCCCCTTACTCAGTCATGAAACTCGCTGCATAGACTGTGGGCCAGTCTCTGATTCTCAACCTAACTTATTTCACAGTGTTGCTGCAAGGATAAAATGGAGAAAACTAGATAAGCCACCTGGGTTCCCTGCAAAAAAACAAATAACAAAAAAACCAAACCAGGTGGGATATAAATGTAATAATGAATACATCTCAGTGCCTTCCAGCTGTCCTCAGAAGCATAAAAAGAAATTGGATGCTATCATTACTGTCAGCACTTGACAGAAAAGAAAGTGATTATCCTCTGCCTACTTCAGGAAAAAATGAGGAAAACAAAAAGCTGTAAATTAAGAAGTTGACAGTTTTCTACTTAAGTGAAATATGGAAAAAAGTATCAATACCAACAATGTGATCTGTTTGAAATTTTAAATGGAAAGCACTCTTCAGCATAATTTTCTTAATGGTATATTTTTTATTGTTTCGTTTCCATTTCACATGCTAGTTTCTAAGAACTTCAACTTTACAGGCAGCTAAACAAAACTTTTACTTTTGCAGTACATATGTTTTGCTATCATTTCAATTTTTCTGTGATATACTCCTTGCACAAGGAATATATCAATATGCAATTTGGAACAACTTCCATTGGAACTAAATTTTAAAAATTGGGCCCAGTCAAATAACAATACATGCAAAGAAATGAGAGTGAACATTAGGTAGCATTCCGTTATCCCAGTAATATTAGAAGTTTTTATCTGTAAAGGCTGAGTTACAACTACAATTTAGTGAAGTCGCTTCAATTACTATGCCAATATAGAACAAAGTTCAATAAATGGTATTATAAAGAACTTTGTATTGATGCAGTTTTGTGCTAAGCTCACTATACTACACAAATAATCTTAAATTAAGATTATAACATTAATCTTATAGTTCTTAACTGTAGTCATTAGGTCTCACAGGCCCCAGCAAAAAAAGTACAGTTGTTCACAGAACAACTCACAACCTGGTAGGTCATTGGGTTTACTTGTTCTGGCATCATATACTGATTGGCCGCTCGTTCTGGAGAGTCCCTCTGTTGACCCACAGGCATGCTAGACCTCCTCCTCGTCTCTTTCCCCCACTGTAATTGTGACTCCTTTTGCAGTTGCCATGGCTTCCCCCCATTCTTTATTTTGGAAATTGCATTTGTAATTTCCTAACTGAGGGCCACTGATAACCCCCCTAAGGTACCCAACTGGTTTGCCACTTTTTCTGTGCCAGAAAATAGCACAAATGATCAGTGATTTGTAATTTTCTGTGACAAATTCAATTTTTTTAATGTCTTTCAGTAAAGTTAGTTCATTTATGGGAAAGTGACCAGAACAACTTAAAGTTTAGTGTTTACTATGCTTCCTCAATTCCTCACTCGCATTTCCAAAACTCTGAAAACATAGCTTAGAACACAGCATTAAAAGCTGCAAGTTCCCTGTTACAGAATACCTTATGCCAGATTTTGATGTGCTAATGATTTTCTAGTGTGACGTGGTACAGACTAATAGGAGGGCCTGCCATGAGAGTCACTATATTCAGCAGCTTTCCTTAAGCAAGACAACAACCATGCAGCCTGGTGTGATGAGAGTTGTAGTCCCAACGAATCATGAGGGCACCAGGTTGGGAAACACTAACATAATGAAATTTCCTCTTTAAGGAAAACACAACAGTTTGACCAACTTTATCAATGTGAAGACTTGAAAGAAGTTACTTTTCTGACAGGTTTAATAGATGTTACTGGTATTAAAGACAATAAAAAGGTGTGACAAGGTATAATAACCTGAATGCTTGAATCCCATTGACCTCAGTGGAACCTGCCAGCTCAGTCTCAACTACCTCTCTTTGGTGACTTGCAAAGTCGTATTTCCAATATACAGCTATCAGCAGGAATTTAGCTGCTGACTACACTGCATATTCCAAACTGCCTTACACTATCCTTCATGCATAAATGCAGTTTCATATATTGTACTTATGCACGTTTTGTTGTGTGTTGAAAGCCGCAAAGTTTTGACTAATAGCAAACTGCCCTCTAACACTCAAAGAGATTTATGACTAATGAATCTGGGTCACCTACTTTTAAACTAACACGAAAACACTACCCTACACACCGCATCCTGTGTATATCCATCCACACTCACAAAGTCCAGCAAGTGTCCCAAGTACGGCCTCATACAGGCCTCAACTCCAGAGCTGAGCTTCAAGCACAATAAACATGAGCGTGCCTCAGAGCATAGGCAGAGTGCCCGAGAAACTGAAACTAGCCCGGTAGGGACTACTTAAGAAGGCTTCTTCGGCATAGACCTCGATTTCCAGATAAAGCTGAATCCCACCGCTTCTTGTAAGAACACTGCGCGACAGTTCCCGTTTCTCTAGTTCGTTTTCCTCTAGTTCATCCCTGCGTCTCCTGCCCCCGCGCCTTACTGTGGTTTATGCTTCGGTGCTCGCCACAAGCATTTCGCCCGTAGCACCTCCAGCACGGCCAATTTCGTCCCTGCTTCGTCCCCCACGTTTGCTCACACGGACTCGAACACTCTCCGCGCGCGCTGCTCCCGCTCGTTTTTCCCACCTGCGATCAGCTGCTGATGTCGCTGCAAGGCAACCTCTGCCTCCTTCAGCGTTGCCGTCTCCGACGGCCTCCCCGCCGAGCCCCGCTGCGCCATCGCCCCTCCAGCAATAACGCCAACCGGGGAGCCGGCCGGCAATCGCACAGGCCCGGCTCAGCCTTCGCCGGCGCCAAAACCCGCGAGAGCGAGCGGGATTGGCCACGCCACGCCACGCCATCGCCTCTCCTGATGCTCACGGCGCAGGCGCAGAATCAACTCTGTTCAAAGTCTTGATGATTCTACCTTGTCCTTCCAACACGTTGTTCTTCAAGTGGAGGAGGAGTGGCGTGCATGTTTTTGGGAAAATATGGTACATTCGAGTTCCGTCTCTACCACGCGTAGAAGTCGAAGGAATTGTCTTTAAAGGTTATTCCTGTGGTAGTATAAGGGGAGGGGGTTGCAAGTCCAATTTAAAACAATGGGACTTACTTCCAAGTAAGTAGGCACAGGAGATGCCTGTGGTACAGGATAAGTCCGCCTTCTCTTCTGCTCTGCAGGACCATGGTGTGCAAATATTCTGCGGGAGAACTAGATAGTTCTAGTGCAGAATTTTTGTATGCTTCCGGAAATAAGGCAGACCGCCTTCATTGGGACGCAGCGTGCCAAGGGAGGCACCTGCTTTTTTTCGACGCCAGGTGAGATCTTTTTATTTTCCCAGGCATTTCAATGGTATATATAGCATTTTAAAAGATCTGGTTTATTTTTTGCAAGTGGTTTTATTCTGTTTTAGCTTTAATTTTCATGTTATATTTTTCTTTTTTATTGTTTCCATTTTTTCCTTTATAAACCAACCAATAAGCTGTTACTGAGCAGTATTAACGTATTGAAAACACATAAAACTACACAATTGCATGAGACTAAAATGATCAAACTGCATGCGGTGTACTTCTCAACAGAAATAGCTGAATCTGGTAGTGCTCAAACAAGCCATGCCCTATCAACTTTTCGAACTTGTTGAGCTCCATCAGAGCAGTGTGTGGACAGTACTAAGTGCAAACTGAAACATCACAGCATCTGGAATACCTGCATTATATTGTGCCTTCCAGAGAGCCCTATAGGGCTATGGGAACAGTTTTAAAATCTAACAAATAACTAAATAAATTTGAAGGAATGCACCATCGTTTCACATCCCATGTTGAGAGGGAGACTAAATGCAAACTCCTTGTCTTCAACATTACTCAAGTTTTCCTTCTGTCTGTCTCTCTTCCCTGCACTGTTTCCTTTGCTTCCTTAAGAGTTGTGTAGTGGCACAGTGCTTGGAGTGTTGGACTAGACCTTGGGAAATCCAGGTTCTAATCCCACTGAGCGATGAAGCTCACTGCGTGACTTTGTAGCTCAAAAGAGCTGGGAGGGCACCTGAGTGGGAAAGGCCTTGTCTTGCCTTATCAATGCTCTTTTAAGTTTCCGCTGTCAAAGGAAGGACAGGGCATACAAAGAAGCTGACAGGACAAGACTTCATATAGGCAAATGTTCACATATTTGCAAGGGCTGTAGGGAAAAGAATACTAAGGAAAAGGAAACAGAGTGGGCGGGACAGGAGAAGTAGGTGCACCAAAATGGGTGGGGGAAACAAATCTCCTACTTAGCAAGGCGATCTTCTCACTTTTGAATGTTGCACTGCTACTTATCACTGTCTTGCTTCCATTCAGCACATCCCCAATTCTCCAGCAAAGCCAAAAATGAAAGATACTGACTCCCCACTTTTCGTGGTCCCTTTCTTATGCCATTGTATATTTGCAACATATTTAAAAATTGCTAAGACATTTGTGCGGTTTTGGAGCTGAAAAAAAAATAATAAAAGTATGTTCTCGTCTGTGTGCTCCAGAGGCATTTTTTTTCTTTTTGGAAAGATGGTGAATGCAAAGGGGTCTTGATTGGAGCAGGTGGGAACAAGGGCAAGCAGACAAGAGGGGTTTTGCCATGAAGGATACTGGGATGTAGGACTGGAGGACTAAGGGAAAAGGAGAACAACAAGCCATGGTAAATCCACTCATTTGTTAGGCATACCATGGGTGAATAACCTACAGTGTGCAGCTTGTTCCCAGGGGTGGCTTACTGTAAAGTGTGAATGGAACCATTATAAAAACTACGTCTTCAATCTATGCCCTTTTCTCAAAATGACACAAAACCCAAATGGCACAGCCCTGGGAAGTTCTCACTGCTCAGAGAAGTGCACAGTCTAGTTTGGGGGTGGGATTGTGCTTCCTCAGAGAAAATCAGTATACCAGTGTGTCTCACCCAGAATTAAATAAAAGCAAAATGCCCAGTACTTTGTAAACCAGCTTGGAGTAAACCTTACTAAACTCAGTCAGCTTTTATCTAAAATACTATATAAACTATACCAGAAAACAGTTTTTTCAGAACTTGATTTGTTGAAGATAATTGGTGTACCTTGCAAATGTGTTGCATATAGGCAACCATTTTTTCCAAAGTGTCTTCAAGAGTTGCAAATGTTCTTCTGCAATGTAAACCTCTTTCCATCTTCTCATCATCTCACAGCATAACATAACACATGATGCTGGACATAAGTTGACTGTGTTGGATTAGCAGGAGGAAACAATAACATGCATAAGCTGATAACCAGCTTTGTTTGCTAGAACTCAATGTGGTGTTCATGAAGCTCCAAGGGTTCCCATCAAAGCACTGACTGGACCAGACTTCAACAATTTCAGAAAAATAATATATGCCTCCAAACACTGGCCCTGGTGTGATTATAAGATAAGGATGCTGAAACTTTGCGATCTGACATGCCACAAGTCATTCAAAATTAAAGACCTGGGCATTAACCTTTCCTTGCTGTGAATTTCTATGTTCATAAATAACCAGCACATCCTAAGATGCCCTTTATGTATTATAATTAGCAAAGTATATTTGAACTGAAAGGATTACAGCTCTCTTTCAAATGTGAGCTGAAAAAAAAAGTGTTGTTTCCGACAATGGGGGTGTGATGGAGAGGGAAAACATTCTAACAAATTCCAGAGAGGAAATTAAATTATAAGCCATTAAGTCACTCCACAGTATGGTTTGTTGGAACATTCTATTTCTGTGAAATTAAAAGGTCTTTCCACAGTGGTAACTCAGACTGGCAAAATATTTCTATTTGTTTTTGGGTAATCCCCCTTGAAATCAGTGGAAATGATACAAAGCCTTTCAGAATACATTTACAGTTACAGAATTCAACTCCAACATGTTTGTGTTTCTATTTGTATACATAAGAATGTGAACATAAACTCTGCATTAATAACTGCATTTCCAGATATTTGTCATTTGTCAGTTAAAATGGTCTCCTTTTAGTGGTTCCTGTTGTCATCTCTAATGGAGTTATAAAAATGTGTCTATAAGTTCTATTCCCCTGCCCCTCTTTCATATTTAATTCTAAAGAAGGAAATAGGTTTCTTTATATCCTAATCTTGTGTCCTTAGAGAGGAACATAAATATCTCATGAAATTATAAATTGTGAGATACTGACAGTGCAATTCTATACATGCATTCTGTGCATGCAATTCTACTCAGAAATATATGTTACTGGATTCCATGGAACTTACTGCCAAGTAGGTAGGGGAGTCAAGACTTTTTTGGGTGGTAGATTGCCCTCAAATACAGCCCCCCGTGTGGGGCAACGCCATGTCCCCTGCCATTTTCAATCTTCTGCTTTCCTGCACTTGGACTTTCCCCAGTCGGGGAAAGACAGCACACATCATCATGTACCTCAGTACCTTGGGTGGAGGAGCTCTCTCTCCCGGTTTGGAGGGGGAGCAATGAACAGGGGAATCTCTGCCTTGTGTTGAGTAGATCAGTAGAGCTTCCTCTCTCCACTAGCCTTCAGAGGCAAGGTTTGGAAGGGAGAAAAAACTTTAGTGCACTTGATGGGGAACATCTCTCTCTAAATCATTCACATGAGTCCACTAAACTCCATCATTCACTTCCCTGGGATATTCATCATATCATCATTATTTGTGTTGGAAGCCGCCCCAAGGCTTTTGCGAATGGGGCGGCATACAAGATTTCCAATAAATAAATAAATCATTAATTCAATGGAATTAACATGCCGGTAAGTACATTGTTGGCCAAAACATTAAAATACATTTGTTCGTAGTAGCATCAAGAGCATAGAGTACCTCAAAAGCCTTGCTTGTTCAGAAATGCATGAATTCAGGACTAGCTTGTCTTTTGCACAGATTTATTTATTTATTTATTTATTTATTACAAGCATTTATATCCCGTCCTTCCGCCAAGCACTCAGGACGGCTTACAAAATATAAAATTACAATGTAAAACCTCAATTATTAATATAAAACAACACATCATGAACTTAAGAAAAAGGAGGAAAAGAATAGAAAATGTGACTGTGAAGAGAGGAAAAAAAATCCTAAAACATCTAAAACCCCTGACTATTAAAACAATGGTTGAATAAAAAGGTCTTTACCTGCCTGGTAGTTAGGATCACTGGGATTTTACATGGATATAAATTAAAAGAAAAAGGTAAGCAATGTATCTAAGGGTGCAATCTTACGGCCTCTCAACACTGGGGGTGGGGGGGGCATAGGATTATTTAGAGCCCCAGCTCTGAGGTCCTGTGCCCTTGGAAGTGTGACTGAACATGGAGCTCCCACCTTGCTTAGCTCATCATTGCTGCAGAAAGAACCTCATTGGTTGCCTCTCTGAGGTTGGAAATTAACCTCAGAGAGGGTTAATGGGATGTTCTCGTGGGCCATGGAGGAAAGGAGGCTGGCCCAGTGTTGCAGTCTTCTTCCCTTTCCTGTGGTGCTCTGATGAAATGCAGAGCATGGAAAGGAAGAGACTG